TATTGTTGGCTACGAATTATGCTGAAGAACTACGAATTATGCTGAAGAACTACGAATCATGCTGGACTACGAATCATGTTTGCTCTGTTCAAGTCGCAAAAAGGCTACCATCAAAGGGAGTCGAACCCTTGCCGAGCGCAGACGAATCAGTGGGAAGCGCCCATTCTACCGTTAAACTATAATGGTGGTTTATGTAAACCTTCCAAAAAAGTACAATAGTATCCTGGCGTAGAATACAGTATGCAGTTTACGTGTTACCGACATGAAACACGAAACTTCTTTAGTAGACATGTGAAGTGTGAAGATGCCATTTGAGGGAAATCGAACACCTGCCGAGCGCACATTCACCGCTACTGCGGATGGGAAGCGTCCATTCTACCATTGAACTACAGCCTACAGCGGTAGTCGATAGGGGCCAAAGCTGTACGTAATCCTACAAAACCTGTCTTTGTGGCATTTCTCGATCGCCCTCTGCCTTCTTCATATTTCCCATTCTTCATCTGGCGTGGGTAGATGATAGTTGTCTGATATTTCTACATCGCGTCAATAAGGAGGTCGCCGCACAGTCAACCTCGTATTATCTTGCGAATAACACAACCCTGCATCTATACCATGTCCCACCCGTCTTTGTCAAGTAAGCCCCTTGTTCTTGAGCCGACAATCAGCGCTTTATCAACTCATGCATGCCTACTACAATTGTTCCGGTTAGCACTTCGACCCGGTATGTTTAGGTTTCCTCTCCCGAGTTCGCATTCGAAAGCGCTCATTGCTTACTCTCCGGTACGTAGCCCTCGTACAGGCACAGGCGTCTGTCAGAAAGCACGCCTTGCAGGCGGCGCAATGCAAAGCCTCCTCCGCACCAACTCGCTCAACATATCTCCGAACCAATGACGGGCTGTATCAATCACTCGCCGCTGTACTCAAGCATCTCCGTCAAGACGTGACAGCACTGTCACTCGCATTCTCTGGCAAATCCATCACAGTAGACGCCGCCCTTGCTCAGCTCACCAAAGTCACGGACCATGTTGGCCGACTTGTCGCATGCGTGATTGCCTTGCCCGTCGAAGGATGCCTAATACAGGAATGGAGGCAGGATGTTACCGAGATTGCGGATCGTATCGACAAGTACTTCAAAGCTTTGGTAGCACACTGCGACAATCCGGTCGACCAGCAAGCTTCGTCATCGACATCGAATCCACCACCCGCTCCGTACCTCTTACAAACCTCCTCTGTATGGGCTGCCGTCGACAAGATGATCCGTTTCGCCAGCAAAGATGAACCCTCGGCGATCAAGAAGAGCTGGAAGCAAGATCAGGAACTCGTTAATGACGCTATGGGCGAGTTTAGGGATCTGCTGGAAGATGACGAAGGTGTGGGCGAGGAGGAAGGATTGAACGAAGACAACGAGTGGGCCGAGTTGGAGAAGGAACTGAATGGTGGGGGTGACCTTAGCGAGGGCGAGATGCAGAGAGTCCGCAAAGTGAGTGCACCCCTTTTTCTTGGCGCTCGGACACAGCTCACGCGTTGTACTCTAGCTGGACACGGTGGTCAGGCTCATCGTCGCGCTTCATAAACGATTCCTTACTCGTTTCCTGGACATACCGGAGTTGTTAGCATTGCCAGAACAGCTAAACCTGTCGCACTCAATCAGCGAAAGCTTCGATGCGAGTGTAGCGAGTCTTTACCCGCCACAGAATACGAGGGAACTTCGAGATGCAGCCCAATCCATGATCGACGACGCTACTCGGATGTGCAGGCTATCGTTGGAGCAAGCTGAACTTGCCCAGAAATCCGAGGGATCAAACCTAGTGGAGAAATTGAAAGGCTTACAGGTGACCGAAGGGAAGGAGGGAGAGAAGCCGTTCGAGAACGACGTGGAATGGTTAACGTGTTGGCTAGAGCAGATCGAAAAGGCAAGCCGGACTTGGAAGGGTGAGGATGCGTAGATGATGATGGATGCAGAAAAGGACCTAGCTTTCGGCACTACACCATGTCAACATAATGTATCATGCATAGGATGCGCCTCATGGTGTCATATACACGACTTGTTTCATCCCCCTCCGCCATGTCTAATCAATCACAATGATCTCTGGTGAACTTTGCTTGCGACGTCGATGTTCACCTGGTGGCACCACTCGTGCAGTTACCTTTGTCCTCCCTTCATGCCGGACTTGCAAAGCATGCACCAATTTTGGTATCCCCGCGACGTCATCCAGATCCCAAGCGGCTTTTACCCTGGCATATAAAATTGAACAGTCGACTGAATCGCATCTGACCTCGTCGCTCATTGGAGTAGACGAACAAGAAGCACATATCCGCTGAGCTGAAATCACACGAGATTCGGCGAGATGCAACCGAGATAATAGTACATGCAAGGTGGACGAGACGTTCTGCTTAGACCGGCAGCGCTCGCAGACGTTCAGTTCCAGATCTAGCCCATCGCAGAAAGAGTAAGGGCAAGCGTCTCCCAGGGTGGTCGCACTGCTCACCTCGTTTCTGATTGATCTGTCCGCATACCAGGCAGTGTAAACTGCTGAATGCGTTGTCCAAGGTCCGACCAATAGCCCTTCCTTTACCATCATTATGATGCTTATATCGATTTTGATTGGAAGCAAGCTGCCGTTTGGGCATGGCATTGTACCATACCTCACAATCAACTCCAATCAGATTGAGTATTCGATTGAGCGGTGGTATGAGTTGTCTTCTGATGTAGTACTCGGCGTCGAGTTTGAGGTCGCTGAGGACGAGAAGAAGACCGACGATTAGCAAGGAGAAAGCGTATCTAATGACTTGACACATACCGATTGTTTAAAAGCTCTTCCGGCGCTACAGCTCTGTCGACTAGTCGTGAGCTCTCCCCAATAGTAATCACATAAGGGACCCGCTCTCCATACTCTGCTTCGGCTCTGGGATCTTCTGTAAGTTTGCGGCTTGCAACCATGACTCCCGGTGGAGGTGGACCTCTTTCTCTAAATTTAGTAAGGAAGAAAGTGAGTGATACCATAGAGGCACAGCGTCACAGCGACTAACGAGTAGGAGCCCAGCTTGACTTCCTTGGCCAACGTGAAATCTTGTATGGAGACCTTTCCCTCCAGTAGCTTGCTCCATTGTGTCGTACAGTATTGCTTGATACGTGAAAGGTCCTGTGAACGGAAGAGCTCTCTAAAACACGCCCTTTTCAGCTTTCGTGCCAACGTGACAGTAGCGACATGGGATATACTTGATCACAGACTCGACCATCTTCTGACCCGCCGGAAACCCATCCCGCCTGACTGTCTCGATCCCCTTGGCATCGAAACCGGGCTCGGTTTCGTCGATGGACTCGTATTTGAAGCCGACATATCTCTTCTTTGCCATCAACAGTGACTTGGTATATACCTGGTAAAGGCGGCGAATTAGCAACAGGACCGTTCCACAACATAAGATGGGACATACCTTCTCAAACTTCAATTTGACGGGTTTGGGATTCGCTGCAGTCACAGCGTCAGCGATCTCGTTGCCGATTCGGAAAGCCTGATCCTTTGTGCGGCCCGGTAGATGAACGAACAAGGAGTCTGTATCGCCATATACGACCTAAACACAGAATTAACTATGGGTCAGGAAAAGGTGCGGGCACATCCGGCTTACCTCCGCTTTCCAGGTAGCATTCAGCTCGATTTGCTTGATGGCCTGGAGTAAACAGCATTAACGAATGCAGGCCAGCAAATCAACCAAATGTGGCGGCTTACTTTCTCAAGTGTTTCTCTGCCGGTCTGGACGATACTATCCGCAATTTCAACACAGGGCATACGACCTGAAAAGCTGGCTCCTGTGTACCCATAAGTGACGTTCTGTGTTGTAGACACGTCAGTTCAGATCCCAGTTACCCTGACAAGGATACCCACGGCCATAAGCTTAAGACCAAGCTGTCGCGCGTTCAATACTTGCAGCAACGCCTGTAGGTAATGTATTAGGGAATGAGACAGATGCGCAAGCGTCGACGCTCACCTTGTCGCCCTTTGCTGTCTTCATTCCCTGTTTTACCATGACACGTGTTTCCAGAATCTCCGTCAACATCTTGGCCAACAGACTACGTCGTAGGTACTGTTTCGCATACATCAGGCCGTTGGGTGAGACTGTATAGACCGATCAGTGGCTTGTCTTTCCGCTGGTGACCTTCAAACCTTCAACTCACTAGAGACATGATTCTGTAACATCTCCAACTCTCCAGGCGGTAACACCATATCCATCCAGCCCAACTTGCTGGCATTCTTGAACCGCTCGACTCTACCTAGGCATGTCGAGTAGCAATAGTTGTACCCGATCATGACCGAAGGATACAGAGACTGAAAGTCGAGGACGAGAACTGGATCCACGTAGAACTTGGATTGAGGTTCGAATATCAGTGGTTGAGCTTCGGCGGCATTCTGTTTTCCGACCTAGAAGGTTGGCTGGATTCAGCCGGGATCTACTGATGGCGAAATGCGAATATGCTCACCGACTCCCTAGACGGAGAGATCAAAACGAAAGCTTCTGGTTTTGCGATACGAAACATGAATGATTCCACTTTGAACTGCGAGCCACGGCTCATGACTGAAGCGAAATCCACGCCAAACACTCTGGCAAACTCGCTAAAGAAAACAGCAACAGGTCAAACAGCGTATCGGGTGACAGGTTGACAACGACGTACGCATTCTTTGTAGTGATTTCCGCCGCGTCCATCATCTCAATATACATGACCGTCTTGTCGATAAAGTATTGAAGGACCTTGTCAAGGTGCATAGGATACTTGCTTTTAAACCAGGCAGTCAATGTCGAGGCAGAATAATGGGGAAACCTGTTCAAAGAGAACGCGATCAGCACAGACAATGCGGCGCGAACGTAGCCACTAACCTTTGCCTCAAGAGATGAAACGCCACATTCTCAAAAGAGTAGCCCAGCAAGTTGAGTTCACCTCGAAGGACACGCCAGATATTGAAAACATGTCTTCCGATAACTTTGAATGTAGACGTGTGCGTCCGATCGTAGTTGCCAAAGCCCCGGCCACGACTGGTCACCGATTTCACTCGAGATATCTCGTCTGCCAAGTCCATACCTGGCCAAAAGAAGAGGGACATCAGCGGGACGACACGTAAGGAGAAGAATTCGAATTGGAGGCAGTGCGCACTACGACGGTCGGAAAGCGCTCACCGAACTGATTATGAAGT